ACTATGGCACACGTGTTGTATGGCTAAGCTTTTGTACATATTTAGATCTCCTTTGAATATTCACTGATTCTAAAGAGTGATTTAGGAAACCTTTGGAAGATTAATTTTACTACAAAAATGAACAGGCTTTCTGGGATCTAAAGGGATTTGTACTTGAAGATACTCCTGTCAGCAAGGGGTCATGTTGAGCATTCTGCAGACAAAACTATTTCCAATCTGCAGCTGCCTGGGAAACCTTCACGCGGTTGAGCCCAGCTTCCAGCCTAAGTTGCTTAATCACTTTCTTCATAGCGACACTAGAGGAGCCAGACATGGTGAGAGAGAATGAAGCCGATTGATTCTCCTTTCAGGATCAGTCCCTGTGCGAGTGGGTTAGCTGGTCACTCGCCGGGCCAGATGGCACCTAGAATCTGTATGTTTGTTTGTTTTTTAATTTATTTTATTATCTTTGTGTGTGTACCATCAAAGCAGATCTGACTGGTACTGGAGGAGATTGAACCTCCTTCTCCAGCAGAGCATCTGGTGGATTCGAACGCACACCTCTGGGATTGCAGTGCAGCTTCCTGCCACTAGGCCACCTGAGCTCCCTTAGAATCTGCTTTTTTTTTTAATGATTAGTGATTTATTCTTAAGACTTCATCAGCAGGTAGAATGGAAGACACCGCCCACCCTGACTCCTTGGGAAACCAGGGCGTTATACTCCTTTACGGCCTGCTCTGTCTGCAGCACCCGAACATCAATGCCTTGTTTCTCGAGGAACTCCACAGTTGATGAAGGCACCTTCAAGGCCTCGCTCATTCCCCGGCCAATCACAAGGGTTTGCACACCCTTCCTGACAACCTCTTCTACATCTGAAGGCTGCACGCCAGGGGATCCAGTCCCAAGCCCGACTGCCCCTTGGCCACACTTTGCAGTCCTTATAGGTTTTAGCCCAACCTTGTACTTTCATCTGTCCCCAGGACAGAGAAGCAATTTCAGGGGAAGACATAGGAGCTTAATTGAAATAAAATTCTTCTTGGAGTTTCTTGCCCAAATGATTCCGTGCTTTACCTCTCACCTCGGTAGAATCTGCTTTTTAAAACAGAGATTTAATACATTTGTAATTAAATTAATGTGCTTCCATTTTCTTTTTGTTTTATTAATTTTAGTGAAAGTTTACAGAGACTTAGGGTTTCCGTTCATTCATTGTTGCACTTTTCTCTCTGCCCACTTCCTCCCCCTGAAATAACTCTTCTTTTTGAAAAGTAAAAGAAAAACTTTCATTGTTATGCAATCTCTGCCCCCAAGTCCACTCCACTGTGCAGCCTTCATTCTGGACTCCTGTAATGACAATAATACCCAATCATATATCCCTTTAAACAGTTCTTTCTTTCATCTATTTCAATGCAGTATACATCATTCCTCCCCTCTTTCTCTGTCTTCCCTCAAGCCCAATGTCAGTCTCGTTTTACAACAGTGGCCCTATGCAATATTTGTCCTTTTGTGATTGAGATATTTCACTCAGCACAATGTCCTCCAGGGTCATCCATTTTGCATAATATTTCATGAGTTCCTTGTTTTTCAATGCTGCATAGTATTCCATTGTGTGACTATACCAGAGCTTCTCTATCCATTCGTTTGTTGATGGGCACTTCGGTTGTTTCTAGCTCTTTGCTATTGTGAACAAAGCTACAGTAAGCATGGGTGTGCATATATCTGCTTGGGTAGTGGTTATGCTTTCTTTAGGGTAAATTTCCAGTAGTGGAATTTCTGGGTCAAATGGTATTTCTGTTTGCAACTTTTTGAGAAAGCGTCATACAGCCTTCCATAGTTGTTGCACCATTTTACACTTCCACCAACAGTGAATAAGGGTTCCAGTTTCTCCACAACCTTGCCAGCATTTGATGTTTGTGTTTCCATTTGCTTAATAGTTGTATAATATTTCACTGTATAAATTATATCATAATTTATTTAACCCAGCACCCACTGGTTGATATTTAATTGCTGCTGGTCTTTTGCTATTACTACGATGCTCTGCAGATGACTTTATTGTGTAAGTCGCGTCACTTATGTGTGTTTATGTTTATAGAGTAATTTCTAGAAATAGGTTGCTGAGTGGGAGAATATGTGCATTTCTAATTTTTGCTAGATAAGGCAATTTAGCGTTCTTTAGCAAAGTTGATCATTTCCAATCTGTTCCAAGTGAAAAAATGGTACTTCAGTGTAGAGCTAATTTGCATTTATCTTATTTTAAATGAGGCTGAGCATATTTTAATGTTTGAAAGTGCTTCACATTTTCTTTTCTGTGATGTTCCTTTCCCATTTTCAGTTCCACGGTTGATCCTTTTTTGTAGACTTTTGTAAAATATGCTGAGTAATCACTTACTCGTCTGTACAGTGTGTTTTTAAATTCTAAGATCTGTCCTTAAGCACTCAAGAAAAATGGTGAGGAAAAAATGGCCACGGTCTTGGGGATGCACCTCTTTCTATCAAATCAGTAAGCCTGGCCATTTTAATGTTTCTTACTACTGTTTCACATTTTTGGCCACACTGTCCAAGATCTTTTTATGGCCCCTTATAGAATGATCAGCAGTGGTGGTTCTTCTGGTCTCATTTATGGTGGTTGAGGTTTATGTGGTCCATTATGACTTTGGACCAATTATTTCCATGTATCTTTTACCTCTTCCCTCCTTTTTTTTCTTCTTTAAAAAAAAATGTAACTTCATGAATTTGCATGTCATCCTTGCACAGAGGCTATGCTAATCTTCGCTGTATGGTTCCAGTTTTAGTATATGTGCTGCCTAAGCAAGTACTTCCCTCCTCTTTTTTTTCAGAGACCAAAAGCTACCACTTAGAAAGCTCCTCACAAGTTTTTAAAACTACGGCCTCTATTGACCATAGTAGAATACAGAACAGCGTCTTTATATTGGACTACAAATATCATCTGCCAAACCTAGGTATGGTCATAGGTATTAGTCCCTCTCATCTGCTCATATCTGTTCATTTTGCTTACTGCTGGAAGATTTCTACATATATACACACATACTTGTATGTATTATATATTTATCCAGACATATTAAAGTATGCAGAGGGCAAAGTTATGCCAGCTCCTTAGCCATATCTAAACGCCTTGAAGAAGTGAGTTACTAGGCTTGTGGGTTTAGGTCCATAGTCTTGGGGACATCAGGTCTATTGGCAAAATATAGTCAGTACTGGGGACTTAAAAACTTTCAACCAACTTGAAGATACTATTGGACTCTTACCATCCCAGCAAAAGCAAAAGAGAGTGAAGAAAGTCAAAGATTCTAGGAAACAATTAGTCCAAAGGACTAATCAACTCCACAGACTTCACTAGCTTGAGGCCACAGAACTAGATAATATAATGTGTTAGTTAAATCTTTTGGGAAACCATAAAAGCTCTATCCTTGTTATGCTTATTTGATTATTCGGATTCATAGGAATTTATTCAGTGAATCATTTCCTCTAATTCCACAGTTGGGGCTATTAAAAAGCAAAGCATAAAAAAAAAAGGCATCTTTAGCCAATAAAAAACTTGGGAAATGAAGCTAAACTACAGAAAAGGAGTTGACTACAATGCGAAAAATAGCGGCTGTGAATTAATATTGTCCTCCCAAGGCTACCATAGGGCAAGTTGCGTAACCGATTTAGGGGCGGAGCGAGCAGGAAATTTAAACTGTACCCGCGGAGAGCGCTGAGGGAAATGATGCTGTTGTTGCCAGGGTTTGCATGGAATTCTAGAGTCTGGGAAAACGCATGGAGCTCGCAAATGTAATACACCGGCCTTGAGGAAGGAGTACGGAAGCCGAAAAGGAGCCAAGACCTTGAAGAAGCAGTCGGGAACGCGTACGGATGCTGGGAAGCGGGGAAAAACGACCCAATGGTCTTGGTTAATGAATGAGATGGTTGAGATGGAAGGGCAGGGGCACCGGAAATGTTGGTAGAAAGTGAAGAGTGTTAGGACCCACCGAAGGGCTTTATTAAATAGAGATGTCCGAAGAGTTGAAGGACAGAGGTGCAAAGGTATTGAGAGGGACTAGAACCTAGGAGGCGCTGGAAGATAAAAGGGAAACAAGAGGTGGCCAAGGGCTCCCAGGAGTTGAGTATGGAAGGATGCGGCGGGACCGAAGGACAGAAACTTGGAAAGAGACGCAGGAGCTGAATCTTGCTGTCCCTGGAAGCCAAACTGGGAATCTTGGGCTCTTGCATGTTTAGGGGGTAGGGCGGGACTGGTGGAGGCGAAGGCCTTGGAGGATGGCTCAGATTTGTCTTCCTTTCTCAGGTGGCACTTTCCTCGAGCCAGCAAGTTCCATGGCTGAGACTAGACTCCGGGTTCCAGACCTGGGTAGGTAACTGGGCAAAACTGGGGATGCGAGAGGAGAGTTGCTACTTCTGCCCTAGAGTCGCTTGGACAGATAGAATGGGAAATTTAGCTGTATTTAGGTTTTTTGATTGCTTAAGAGGTATAGGGCGGACGGCTATTATAGATCCTTTAAAAGTTCGAGTTAGAGGTCACACGAGAGCTTGCAGCCTGATATTATGGACAAAATAGGGAGTTGGAGACCCAGGAAACTTATTTAAAACTCATATTCATGGTTATTTTTACCACGCATACTCGTTTATCGCTAAACACTCCTACCCAGTTTAAGTGCACATTGTCGTCTCTTGGTGCACCCTTTCTTTCTTTTGAGTGTCATCCAGTTTTAGTTGTGATCATTACTGTAATGGGATTTGCTTGGGTTTTTGTAGACGTTAACATCCTTTGTACTGAATTAGTGACATGCTTCCCACATCTTGATACTTTCTCCAAGGTATTTCTGTTTTTGCTGGAGAACTTTCTCTCATATTGTTTTCCAAAAAGAAGTGTGTGATAAATTTTCTGAGGCTTGTGTTCCCAAAAATGTCTGTATTTCACTGCTTTAAAATTTTCCCCACTTTATTTTGTATTGTTTTGCGTACAAAATTCGTATACATTGCATATCATTCATGTACACTGAGTTTCACACATTCCTACATTCACGTTGTGTTCAAACGAAAATAATCACCATTGATTTGTGCCTACTATTACTACCTTTACAGGTCCCAGTTGGATCTAATACCTTCATACACACCCCTCTGCTCACCAAACTCTTGTTATCATAGTTATTTCTTCCCCTCCCTGCCCTCTGTACCTGTTCCCCTCCCCTTTTGAATTTTTATGCACATCGTACCAGTAATATATCCTTCTATTTTTACAAAATCGTCTTATGCAGTATTTGTCCTTATAAGACTGAATTCCTTCACTCAGCATAATGCTCTCTAGACTGTCCCATGATACAATTTTTTTTTTACAAAATCATTGCTCCTTTGTGTTGCATAGTATTCCAGTGCATGAATGTACCATAATTTCTCAATCCATTCCTTTGTTGATGGACATTTGAGCTGTTTCCATTTTCTTCCTATTGTAAATAACATTGCTCTGAACATAGGTGTACAAATGCATTAAAATTCTTGAGTCCTTCCTCCTCCTATTCAGCACAGTGGAAAACCACAGTATTTTATTGTTCTATAAATAGATACTGTTGTAAAACAGTGTTAGTCTTATTCTTGTTCCCTTGTAAGAGATCAGTTATTTTTCTCTTCAGAAAAATTTAGCCTATTTTATTTCTTTTTGAAATTCACTATAATATGACTGTCTGGATTTTAGAGTGTTTTATTTTCACCTTAATTATAATTTTATGGTTGCATAGCTTAAAACATCAAGATCTGTTACAAAACAAAGTACTTACTATTGTGCTCTTCCTTTCATACTTTCTAATTCTCACTCTCTAGGTACAACCCATTACAGCATTTTTTAATTTTATTTTATTATTATTATTATGTGTGTGTGTGTGTGTGTGTGTGTGTGTGTGTGTGTGTGTGTGTGTCTACCGTCAAATAGGATCTGACAAGTACTGGAGGAGATTGCCCCTCCTTTTCCAGCAGAGCATCTGGTGGATTTGAACCGTGTGCCTCTGGGATAATTTTATTATTTTTTTTGTGTGTATACCGTCAAGTTGGATCTGACTGGTACAGAAGGAGATTGCCCCTCCTTCTCCAGCAGAGCATCTAGTGGATTCAAACCGCATACCTCTGGGATTGCTGTGTAGCTTCTTGACACTAGGCCACCAGAGCTCCCTCAGTTACAGCATTTTCAGCTGTCTTCTAGCACTTGCCTTCTTATTTATGCTGTTGTTGTGTACCCTCAATTCAGAACTTCTGGTGGGTTTCCAGAGGCAATTAATCACATGGGGAAAGATCCTATCCTTCTCCTGCAGAGCAGCTGGCGGATTTGAAAAGCTTGCCTTAAGGATTGCAGGGCAGCTGCTTACCATATAGTAAATTGAGAAATGTGCATAATTTTCTGTGTATAAATCATCAATTTATACACTAGCAGAAAAGCAGGCCTTCTTGCAGTACTCAACAGCAGATCTTTCGGGTTTTTTTCTTGGACACATACCTTCTAGGACCAGTTGTCTTTTTCCCCCCATTTGTCTTAATACTTATTAATGCTAATTGGTAAGTATTATTGCTTATTTATTATTAATAATAATTGTTACTAATAATTTATCTTGTGAAAATGCACTCTAGGTCTGTTGCATTGATTTGATCCTAGGATCTCTGTCATTCAGTGACATTTCCTTTGTTTCTTTTCCTGCATTAGATCCCATGTATTCTTCTTTTTTTTTATTATTATTATTTTCTGTGTGTTTGTACTGTCAAATTGGATCTGACTGGTACAGGAGGAGATGGCCCCTCCTCCGGCAGAGCATCTGGTGGATTCAAACCACATATCTCTGGGATTGCAGTGCAGCTTCTTGCCACTAGGCCACCAGAGCTCCCCTCGATCCCATGTATTCTTAATTCTATGTTTCCCTCTTTTCATTTCCTGCTTCACTTTGATATAGTATGGATCCCTGAGAAAAGTGCTTGAGAAAGACTTTTTGGATACCTTATAAATTTGGCAGCTCTTTACCTTACATGTGAGTTGTAGTTTGGCTAGGTAAAGAATTATAAGTTGGAAATTGTTTTCCTTCCATTTTGAAGACATGTTCCTTCTTTTAGCTTCCAATATGCAGTGGCAAAGCCTAACAGCTAACATACTGTTTCTGTTTAGCAATAATAATATTATTATTATTCAGTGATTATGAGTCTATGGTACATGACAACAATAAACGTATATAATGTATATATATACATTATATATGTATATTAAAAATAGTATATTTTTTGGTTTTTTTTATTTTTTTTAAATAGTATATTGTTATTGTCTATAATTTTTTAATTTCCAAAATATCATTGTTCGTCATTATTATTGCCTTTAAAAGTCCTGCTGGTGTAGTGCATAGTATGTTGAAATGGTATTTAAAAGGTTGGTGGTTCAAATCCAGCCTCTCTGAAATGGGCAGGGCAGGCTTTTCTCATAAAGATTTATAGCCTAAGAAATCCAGTGGAGGGTCTCTATGAGTCTGACTTGACTCAACACCAGTGAGCTTGGTTGTAGGTTAATGATTTTATGGTGGTTTAGGCTAAGCTGAGTTGTTGTACAGCTAACCCAAAGGTGTGCTTCTGTAGGAGTTCTAATCCATCAGCTGTTCCCCAGGAAAAAGATGGGCAGTGAGTGTTTTGTACCTTATAAATGCATTAGAGTGATCTCTGAGTCCAAACTGACTCACCAGCAATGAATTAAGGCCACAATTGATGATTATTTATTATTTTTTTTAGATTAAGTATTTTTACCACATCCCCCCTCTCCCCCATTTTAGACATTCTTTCTGGGTTTTATTTTCTTTTTTCTAAAGTACCTAAAGTCTTTTAGTAAAAACTTGTTGATAAGCTGAGGTATTGTTTTTAAAACAATTTTTTTAAATTTGTTTGTTTGTTTGTTTATTATCTTTGTGTGTGTACTGTCAAATCAGATCTGACTGGTACTGGAGGAGATCGAACCTCCTTCTCCAACAGAGCATCTGGTGGATTCGAACCGCACACCTCTGGGATTGCAGTGCAGCTTCCTGCCACTAGGCCACCAGAGCTCCCTTTTAAAAAATATTTTATCTTTATGATTTAGTAATAGTTTGCTTGTAAAATTTTAAGTTGACATTTATCTATTATTACATCTTTTTAGATTTGCATGAAAGTTTGAAGTTCGTATATTACATTGCTTCTGACTTTTTACTTCTATTGAAATGTCTGTGAAAGGGCTGAGTTGTTATAGCTAATACTTGTTCTTTATTTCCCCCTCTAGCTTATTATCATTTTGTTCTTGATGTTTTACATATTCACTTTAATATGTATAGATTTAGTTTTAGTTATCTTTTGAGACTTGATTTCTGATACCAAACATTTAACTTTTTCATCAATTTTAGATACTTTAACTGGAATCATACAGCATATGACTGTTCTCTTTCCCTTAGCATGGCGTATTAGCCACATTATAGCATTAATTCCTCCTTTTTTATTGTTAAATAATCTTCCATTGTATGAATTGTGTGGATATACTGCATATTGTTTAATCATTCATCAATTGATGAATATTTAAGCTTTTCTACTTTTTGCCTATTATGAATTAACAAAGTTGCTATGAACATTTCTCTGCAAATTTTCTCGTGGGTATATACATTTATACATTCTTAGGAAAACGTGATATAAATCTGATGCTTATTGTTGTTGTTGTGTGCTGTCAAGTCGCTTGCTACTCATAGCGACCCTATATACAACAGCCCTAAACCCTGCTCTGTCCTGTGCCAGTTGCACTGTCTCCAACACACCCAACCCGATACGCCAGACACTGAATCATTCCACCTCATAGAGGGCCTTCCCCCCGCTGGGCTGTCCCTCCACCCTCCCAAGCATGATGTCCCTCTCCAAAGACTGGTCCCTCCTTACAACATGTCCAAAGTATGTCAGACAAAGCCTCAGAATCCTTGCCTCCAAGGAGCAACCCAGTTTAACCCTCTCCAGGATGAATCTGTTTGTTTTCTTAGCAGTCTGTGGTACATTCAATACTCTTCTCCAGCACCACAGCTGAAAGGCATCAATTCTCCTTCTATCCTTCATAGTCATTGTCCGACTCTCTGATACATAACAAGTGATTGCAAAGACCATGGCCTGTATTAGGTGCACCTTAGTCTCCAGAGTGACACCATTGCTCTTCAGTACTTACCATGTTTAATTTTTTTTAATTAATTTTAATGAAAGTTTACAGAGACTTAGGGTTTCCATTCATTTATTGTTGCACTTTTCTCCCTGTCCACCCACTCTTCCCCAACTCAATTTACTCTTCTCCTTGAAAAGTAAAACTCTTTTATTGTTATGCAGTCCCTCCCCCCACATCCACTCCACTGTGCAGCCTTCATTCTGGACTTCTGTAATGACAATAATACCCAATCATATATCCCTTTTTAAACAGTTCTCTCCCTCATCTATTTCAATACAGTATATATCATTTAGCCCTTCCTTTTCTGTCTTCCGTCAACCCCAGTGTCAGTCCCATTTTACAACAGTGGCCCTATGCAATATTTGTCCTTTTGTGATTGAGATATCTCACTCAGCATATTGTCCTCCAGGGTCATCCATTTTGCATAATATTTCATGAGTTCCTTGTTTTTCAATGCTGCATAGTATTCCATTGTGTGAATGTACTAGAGCTTCTCTATCCATTCGTTTGTTAATGGGCACTTTGTTTCCAGCTCTTTGCTATTGCGAACAAAGTAGCAATAAACATGGGTGTGCATATATCTGCTTGGGTAGCAGTTATGGTTTCTTTAAGGTAAATTCCTGTTGTTGTTGTTGTTATGTTCCATTGAGTCGCCTATGACTCATAGCGACCCTATGTACAAGAGCCCTAAACTCCGCTCTGTCCTGTGCCAATCGCACTGTCTCTGACACTCCCATCCCAATTATCCCAGTCACTGAATCAATCCACCTCAT